ACTACGTACTCTCTCTCTCTCTCTCTCTCTCTCTCTCTCTCTCTCTCTCTCTCTCTCTCTCTCGTACAAAGTAACAGTCTTTAGATCAATTTGCAAAACGATGGCCTAAAGATGGAAACCTTCATTAAAAGGAAAGTGTATAAGATAGAAGGGCAGCTGGCAAATCACCGAGCCAACTCTCTGCTTTTTTTTTACAAAGTAAACATACAGGAACTTTTCAAAAGCATCACATCAAGCTTTCAGATCTGCTTATACAGGCCCCCAAAACATCAAAGAAACCACATATCCTCCCTCTAGATTCTCGTTTTCTTTCTCTAGATACTCGTTTTCTCATCTCTTTGGGCACATTAGATGTGCTACACAAGCCTGATTCTTTTCTCAAAATTTTCATCCAGAAAAGAACTTGTTCTTGCGAAGATCTCACAAAAATTGAGGTGTTCTCGAGTTTTCAAAAAGCTCAAGGCTCGAGTGGAAAGAATTCTCGTTGAAAGAAGGAAAAGCTCAATGCATGAGAATCCTTTTTGTAAAGGCTATGTACGCCATCTTTTTCTCTCTCTACAAATACAAGTCCACCACATAGTAAATAAATAAACCCTAAATGTTCACTTCGTATTACTGTTCATTCGCTGGTCATGGAAAGAATCCCGCAATTCAACCACAGTTTACAGCATGATTGAAAGGATTTGAGCTCAGAATAAACAAAGCTTTTCATGTTCACTGTAGAGAGAGGTACTCAAATCCTCAGTCTTTTCACAATGAATTGAAGCTATCGATTTAGTAGCAAAGCAGCAACTTTTGCAACTGTGATATTCCTAAATCACCTCAATTTTCGACTTCAGAGATCTGATTTCACCCCGGAAATTCCTAAATCTCCACCTAGGAATTTCGCCTGCAAAAAATGTTCAATCCAAAAACCACACCAGCAAACACATTCCAATCTCTGAAAAGATAAAGCTTCAAAGCTCAAAGCAAAAAGAAAATGCTCCAACAAAGAAAACCTTACATTTGCACAGTAAAAACCAAAGACAACCAAAATAAACCCAAAGTTAAATCTCCGGAACCAACAGCTAGAAGTGTGACTCCAAGCTGCAATGTTGTCCCAATTTTGGCCGGAAAATCTCACCCTATGGCCTGAAACACACCGGAAGATAACCAGAACCCTGCAAACTTCACCTAAAATTTACCTACTTCACGTTGAAATATTGGTCGAATCAATTAATTCCAGCTTTATGCTTAGCTAAAATGGTCGGAAATTGGCAGGAAAACCATTTGGAATCCTGAAAATTCATCAAAATTTTGCCCCGTTTTCTCCGTTTTAAGACAAGGCACTCCTGACCACCGGATTTCAAACCCTTAACTCAACCCGCTTCAATTTGCATCCCATCCCATTTATTTAAAGCTCGACTTTGTTTTATTAAATAATTATTTACGGGAAAGAAAGAGAGAGGCTGCATTTTCCCATGCTACCCTTGACTGTGGGCCCTTTTTGAAGATTCCCGCACAATTCCCTTAATTCAGAAGATAAATATGAGAATTTCCCTCTTTTTATGTGGAAATTTGTTTCTTTATGAAATTTCGTAAAAAAATAATTATCGCGGACGAGGCGGAGAGCTTGCGTAACCTTTTTCGCATTCCTTTTTCACTTTTATTTTTTATTTTATTTTTGAATAATTCGGTGTGGGGATACTCTTTTTTCAAATGGATTAGGAGTAACCTTTTTTAAGGCATTAGTGAGGTGGAGGTAGCAGTGAAAATAGAAACATCGTGGTGGCCCTATTGGTTTGGTTCAACCGGTGATCCAGATTAAATTGGATCTTGATCGGATTGTCGATCATCATCATCAAAGTTTTTTATTTTAACTACTTGAGATCGTGAGATCGCATTTCTGAATCATGGTCTGTCATTATGTTCTATCTAAGGTCAATAGTTAATGAGGCTATAGGTCCCCATATGTTTTCTCATCATTTTCAACAATATCTTTTTGGGCCTATTCTTTGTTTTTTTTTAGCTTTCTATTTCAAACAACTTGGACCTCTTAAGAGATGTTGTATTTGACCATCTAAGTCTACTTTCTATCATCTTTTCTACTATTAGATATTAGAGTATGTATGTCTATATTGATATACATCATTATGAATACATAATGAGATATATATATATATATATATATATATATATATAAATACTCTAATATTGAAGCCACACCTAAGTTCGAATGTATTCACTTTGAATTCTATTATTTATTATATTGTCACTCATCTATCTCAACATCATCATCTCAGCTACACTTATCTTATAGGTACATGGTTTCTTAACCGCCCAACATTGTGCCCTATAAATCAAAGTTGGTCTCACAGTTATCATATGAAAATATTAAAAAACATACTTTATATTAATATAGATGGAAGATCCAAAAAATATTAAAAAGAAATAAAAAAAAATTGAGATTTATACGATGTGAATTTAAAAAAAGCTAAAAAAAAATAGATGAGCTTAAAAATATAAAAAAAAGTGATTTCATGGAAAAACGAGGTCTGGACTCATATCATCTCGAAACCAATTCGTTTCCCAACGAATTCCCATCCAAATCGGTAAACTAGATCACAATTGGTTTTGAAACACTTATTTGCACCAACATTGCTTGCCGTTTCTACGAGGCCTATGATCTAAAATCTATTTCTACTATTTATTATAAAATTTGTAGTAAATTTGTAGTTCAAACAATAGTATAAATTTCATAGATATATGAATACTTGAAAATGGACGGTTTGCATAAATGTATTATAATATACATTATTTATAGTGTTTGAAATTTTATTTTCTTTTTTTTCATGATCGATTTGAAGGGTTTAACACTCCAAAGCAGCGTTTAAAAAATCGCCGAGTCGAACCGGACTCGCCCGGTTCGACTCGGATTTCACGAAAATGGACCGGATCGTTTCAAGAATCGGGAATCATCCGGTTCTAGAGAGAACCGGACGATTCCGCACAGTGACTCGCCGATTCATTTTGCGGAATCGGCGAGTCCGTGAAGAACACGGGTTGCACAGTGTTCTTCACAG